GGATGGATGGATGGATGGATGGATGGATGGATGGATGGATGGATGGATGGATGGATGGATGGATGGATGGATGGATGGATGGATGGATGGATGGATGGATGGATGGATGGATGGATGGATGGATGGAATGCGTGCTCGATACTGTACAGTCTTTTGAAGTAAAGGTTGAAGGTGGAGCACCCTCAAACTGCTGTTTTTATCCGTCGACCTGTACCACATGGATGTACCTACTCGCACAATCGGTAGTACCGTTTACGTGCACGTGAACACGTATGTGAGATACGTACATTCACTCCAATGTTGATCAGAACCCAGTGGCGATGCTGGCTCGAAATTAGCAGTAACGCGTAAAATGTGAAGTACGGACGCTGTTGGGCCCGGGAGATGAGTCAAAATCGAGATTTCCCCTTCTGTAACCCCCAGGGCACTGATAGATAGAACAAAGCCAAAGACGAGAGATAGGCTTTGGAAACATCTTCTTGACTATCTATCTATGGCATGAGGCAGTTGGCAGAAGGTGTTGTGTGCTATTGGGAAAAATACTAAATGCTATGTTTTTTCACTCTGACAAGAAGGAGAAAAGCAATTTCTGGAGGAAGGGGAAAAAATGTAAATGGAGCAGATCTGGAAGAATCAGGATTCAACAGCCGTCAGAGAAGTAGAAGGAATCATACAGAAATATAATGTTCGTCATGATTATATTTGAACAGTGAACGCGAGATTGAAGCAAATACTGAAAGACGACGCACGACTGAAACAGAAACAAACAATGCATGCCGGCAACACAGGTTTTGGAGGCCAGACAAAACGATCCATTAGAAAAATCCAATGACTCATGAAATAAATGCTACTTCGAAAGTATATATTGCATGTTCAGCGTGTTGATGCAGATTTACGTCGTTGTTGGGTGTTCATTATGCTGACGGACATTAGTGATTATTGATTTCGTTCTCCAGATTTTGAATGAAATGAAAATGAGAATCGAACGGCTTCTCATTCTCTTTGTCATTCACGAATGTTGTTGTTAAATGGGAATACTTAATAAACTATTATTAGCATTTATCATCTTTAATAGGAAAGTGATAAAACGTCGTGTGTTATAAATGTTTTCTTCGTTGGAAATGTAATGTTCTTCCTCAGTGTAACGTATTGTTCTTCGTCGGCAACATAGTGTTCTTCGTAGCTAATGTCGTGTTCTTCGTCGCTAACGTAGCCACAACGTTAGGCACGTTAGCCACGTAATCTTTTACGTTTCTAACGTAGTGACTACGATAGCCATGAAAACTAACCTAGTACTACGTCAGCAACGTAACAAGTTTTACGTTGCTAACGTAGTCACTTGTTAGCCACGAAAACTAACCTAGTACTACGTTAGCCACGTAAACAATTTTACGTCGCCAACATATTGACTACGTTAGCCCCGAAAGCTAACCTAGTACTACGTTAGCGACATGACGAAATATGAATTTTTACGTTCCAAAAGAAACTATTCAAGTACGAGGTTTTCGACACGTGCAATCGGAATTTGATCGTGCGCGATGTCGGGATTCGACGCAAGTATGCCGGACGCGAGTCTGTCGGACAATCTGTATCCACACAAACAGGAAAAGATCCTGTACAAGTGGAATATCAATGTTGTGTACAATGCAGTAGGGAATTATGCAAGATATCCCAAAGTACTGCATTCAACACAGAATTG